CTTTGTCTTGGTTCTTCTGCTCACCTGCAGGGAGTGTATCCCGACAGAGTTCTCTAAGCTTTTTCATCAAACTCTCGCCAATGCCAGATCTCACACATACTGGTGGATCCATGGGCCAGCCCTACTTAGTCCACTTCTATCCTAGTAGGAACAGCGGCCTTTCCTGACTGACATTCACCCATTTGGGTTCTTACTGTTGTATGTTATAGCACAGCCAAACCTGGCCCAAACCCAGACACAACTCATGTATGGCTCAGCAGAGGTAGAGACCTAGCCCAGCCCATCCTACACCCACTCTGGTTCTCACAAACACCGGTGGGTGCTGCAATCTAGCCCAGTCTGGCACACCTCACACCCAGTCCACACCTGTGCCAAGGGACACTGCAGCCATGTCCAGACCAGATCAAAGCTCCCACTCCAGCCCTCATGCTCATCATTGGGAACCAGGGCATACCCTTAGCTCACCAACCGGATCTGTTCCCAGCCACAGATCTCACACATGCCAGTGGTTGGTTTGACCCAGCTTGGCATAGCCCCTTGCCAGTCTTGGCCTTTGCCTCTGGATGCTGCAGCCTGGCCTGACCTGGCCTGACCCAGTCCTAACTCTTGCTGGTGGATGCTAGAATCTGGCCTGCTTAGTCTGCTCTTATCCCTGGCTCATGCAAACCAGTAGGTATGATATTGCCCAGCATGACCTGCACTCCGGCCTGGTTTCTGCACTTGCCAGTGAGATAAGGCTTGCTCAACTCCTGGTCCACCCCCTTCCAAAACCAACCTTACCATTTGCCAATGGATGGCGCTACCTCGTCCAGCCTGCCCAACACTCAAGCCTGAACCATGTGCTCACCAGTGGGAGCTACAACCCACTAGGGGAGTTTCCCAAGTTTCTCCACTTGGCCTACTCCTAGACACAGATCTCATGCATGCCAGTGAGTGCCAGGCCCTTACCCGGCATAGCCTGTCCCTGCATCCTGGCCTTTGTATGAGCTGGTGAATGTTGCAGGCCGGCCCACCCCACACCCAGTTTTAGGGTGCACATGAAGGTCTGGACCTGCCCAGCTTGTTCCCAGCCCTAGTACCCGTGAGTGTTGGTGGATTCCATGGTCACACCCAGCTCAGCCCATCACCACCTCAACTCTTAAACTAACCAGCAGGACTTGTATTTGCACAGAGTTAGGCCCACATATTTCCCACAGAATCTACCCCTGGACCTGGTTCTCTTGTGTGCTGGTTAGTGTCATGGTGCAACCTAATGTGACCCATCCCCTGTTCTAACACTCACTGTCAGGTACTGGAATTTAGCCTTATCAGACAGGCCCCCCAGCCCTAGTTTTCATGTGGTCTGGTATGTGACAGTCAGCAATGCTCCATGCTAACAAGCCCAACTCAGGAATTCCATGTGGGCAGGTGCCTCAGTCTAACCCAGAAAGGTCTTCTGGTCTCTCCCCTCCAAACCACCAGGTCTTAGTTCCCTCACTTACCTACAAGTACAGAAGCCTTGTCTATGGGAGTCCCTCAAGAGTCATTCCTCACTTACACATATGGTAAGTGGCCTTACCCATGGATGTCCCTAGGCAGTAATTCCTCACCTTCTAACATAACGGCATATGTCCATGGAAATCCCTAGGCAGCCATTCATCACCTGGACATGAACTCTCAGGTTCCTCTACATGCCCCACTAGTGCCAACCACCAGATCCCTTATAGGCCCACACCCTCCAAGTCCTCAGAACTTGTCACCAGACAGCCAGTGGGCTTCACCCCACACCATTGGTGCCTTAGCAAGTACCAGTGGGTGCTAGAGTCTAGCTAAGCCCAGCCCTCCCCAGACCCAGACCACAGCCATGCCAAGGGAGATTGCAGCCACGTTCAGCCCAGGACAATGCACCTATTCTGGCTCTAGTGTTCACCAGTAGGAATTCCAGCCCATCCAGGGCATCCCCAACCAGGCCTGTTCCCAGCCACAGTTCTCGCACATGCCAACCGAGATTGCTGTTCCACATGCGTGAGCCCACATATTCCTGTGCAGATTCTGTCCTCAGACCTGATTCACTCACGTGTTTGTCAACTTTATGGCTCAGCCTCATAGTACCTATTCCTTTTGCTGACACTGTCCGGTGGGCTGCATGTCGTAACCTTCAGGCACAGTGGCCTTGTTCATGGAAGTCCCAGAGAAGTCGTTTCTCATCTGGACATGAACCTTAAGGTCCCTGCTCTCATCCCCACCTGTGCCATCTCCCAGACTCCCTGTAAGCCCACACCCCCAAGTTCCCAGGCTGCACCACCAGGCAGCCCGAAGGCTTGGCTCGGCACTATTGGCACCCAGACCATCCAGCCCAGATTCCCCCAGCTGTAGCTACACAGCTGGGAGATTCAAGCACCCATGCCACAGCCCAGACTCACCTGAGCTCCACCCACCCACATGGCAGTGGTGGGCCTCTAACTCCATTTTCTTTTCTTTTCTTTTCTTTTCTTTTCTTTTCTTTTCTTTTCTTTTCTTTTCTTTTCTTTTCTTTTCTCTTTTTTTTATATCCTGTTTTCCCTTAATGGCCATGGTCAGTAATTGTAGGATTAAGTCCAGGAGCTACTCCTTTGCACTCAGTGGTTTGCTGGGCCCAAGAAACTCCCATTTCCCTATGAAAAGGCTTCTTTAAAAAGTATAAATATATAGATGCTTTTGTGATCACTTGTCATTTGAGACACTTTTAAGATTTTTATTTTAAAGACAGAATTACCGAGAGAGGAAAGAAGTCTTCCATCCATTGATTCACTCCCCAAGCTGCCACAACAGCTGGAACTGTGCTGATCTGAAGCTGGGAGCCAGGAGCCAGGAGCTCTTCTGGGTCTCCCATGCAGGTGCAGGGTCCGAAGGCTTTGGGCTGCCCTCTACTGCTTTCCCAGGCCACAAGTAGGGAGCTGGATGGGAAGCAGGGCTGCTGGATTTAGAACTGGCACCTATGTGGGATCCCAGCATGTACAAGGCAAGGACTTTAGCAACTAGGCTACCGCACTGGACCCCAACCCTCCAACTCTTGGCTTCCCCAGTACCTGCTTGCTCTCTGGCATCCCACGGACAGTCTGAGAACAGGTAATCCCTGAGCATGGCCCCTGTTTGTCTGTATTCCTCACCCTCTGTTCACTGCTTGGGGAAGACAGTGAAGATGTGAATGCTAAGCTGCTTTGTATTTCTAATGTGTGTACTTTCAAGAGTTCCAGGGGAGGAGAGGCCTAGCAGTAATGGAATGTGGACAGAGAAGCCAGGGAAAGGTGAATGCTTACAGCTTTCTGTCCTCAGGTTATCTGCTGCATGTCTCTTAGGATAACTTAAATAGCCGGGGAAGCTGGAACATAAGACTTCAGTTTAATAGACGGACTTCAGGGTCATTTGTTCGCCTCAGGGTTTTGATTCAGACTGGATTGCCATATGGACTTGTCATTTGCAAATTCCTAGTGGGTCCTATTGTCACCAAGCTTGGTTACTAAAGATTCCTTAATATACCGTAGACTTGTCTGGCACGATTTCACTCATACCCCCGCAACAAGGACTTCTAGTAGTTCTTATCAGGCTACCTTTCCGTGACCAAGGTGACTGCTACGGACCGCTATCCCAGCCACTCCTCCGAGACCAGGGGATTGTCTGATCTTGAAGGCTCTAAGAGAAAGCAGAGCATCTTCTCCTGGAATGTCAGATTCCTTCGACACACTTTGTGATCTCTGGCTTTTAATTCCCTTGATTGCTGAGTCCCTCAGATCTTGCTCCACAACTCCCCCCCACTCACCCCGTGGTGTGGGAAATTATTACCCCATTGAGGATCTTTGGAAACTTGTCCTGGTTGAGGAGACCCTGGGGTCCAAAAGGTGTTATCTTTTTAAAACAGCCCTAGCCTCCTCCTTTACCATCCCAGCCAGCCAGCCCCTCCTCCCTGTGAATATCACATTCTTTATGGACACCATTTCAGTGCTGCTTACCAAGAATCGGCTTATCAGTTGGTGGGAACCAAGCAGCCTCATTTCTTTCCTGGAGGTTTTTGATTCCAGCATTTGTGAGGGTAACACTGACAAAGCCTATTTCAGAGACAGTGCCATGACCTAGCGGTTAAAGTTCTCGCCTTGAATGTGCTGGGATTCCTTAAGGGCGCCTATTCTGATCCCAGCAGCTCCACTTCCCATCCAGCTCCCTGCTTGTGGCCTGGGAAGGCAGTCAAGGACGGCCCAAAACCTTGGGACCCTGCACCCGCCTGGCAGACCTGGAAGTTCCTGGCTCCTAGCTTCGGATGAGTGTGGCACCCACCATTGCGATCACTTAGGGAGTGAATCATCTGTCTCTCCTATTCTCTGTATATCTAATTTTGCAATAAAAATAAATAAATCTAAAAAAAAAAAAAAAACAAAAACCTATTCTGCCCTGTCCCATTGTGGTTTCCCAGAGTGGGTGCATAACTAGATGTCATCTATTTAGAGAGAAGGTCTCTAAATCTTTTTGGTGTTGCTGTGCTGCTTCTGGTCGTTGTGGGGATAACTCTGCAGGTACGCCTCGAGCCAGAGGAACCCTGTCTGTAGACACACATCCATGGGGATGTCAGGCGAAGCCCCCAGGGTCTGTAGCAAAAGGAGGATGCACTGGCCACGGGACCCTTGCCTTACGTGCCCAGGCCCGGGGGCAATGACCTCCCAAGGCCCCGGTAGCAAGACGCTCCCAAGGGGCCCCTGCAGAAACACTTGGCAAATTCCAGGCCTAGGCAGGCTGCTCCAGCTTTCCTCCCCAACATTCACTTCTCAGAAACCCCCCAAGTAGAAAAGTTGGCCTTCCCAGGGGGAGCCCCAGTCCAGGCCTGCCCCATCCCCTCGTAGCCAAGGAGCCCAAGTTCTAGCTCCAGGGAGGCGGGGAGAGTGGCTTCCAGGACCCAATCCCAAGGCCACGGCTCAGCGTCTAGCGGACGGGGCGGGGTCCCTGAGCCCCAACCCGACTATGGGGAGGAAGCGCTTGGGTGTCGCCGCACCCGCCGGGGTCCGCTTAACCGTTAAGGGCGCGCGGTGGGAGAGGCGAGCCTCGGGCCGGGCACCAGCCAGACGCCAGGAGAACCCAAACGGACGGCGGGCGCCAGGCCGTTACTTGCGAGGGTTCGCGGGGCTGCGCTCGCGTGCCGTTCCTGGGCGTTGACTGCCGCTAACGCCAAAGCCAACACCAACGCCTCGGACGCCGCCGAAGGGCCACGGCGAATTTGAGTACCCGACCTTGACTGCCTGCCCCGGGCCTGCGCTGCTCCTGGGCCGAGGGTAAGTGAGAATCGCGGTGAGGACCCCACCAGAGTCTCTGCAAGCAGGTGTCAGCCCTTGCAGACAGCGAGAGGGGCCTGGGTTTCCCGATTTGGAGCCGGGTCACTGCCTCTCCCACCCGAGAAAGGCGGGGCCGGTTGTTTGGGGAGGTGGCTAGGCCACGTGGATCCTGGGTTTGTTTGGAACGGTGCCCCGGGAAGAGGGTGGGGTGGGGGATTTGGGTGGAAGGACAAAGCCTGGATTCTACAAAAGTCCTGCGAGCTGGTGGGAGTCTTGACTCCCCACCCCGCGAACCCGGCAGAGCTGGAGACCCAGGGCTGGGTTCCAAGGCCTCCTTCCTCTCCTCTCAGGGCAGTGGGCTGTGCTTGGGAAGGGGACAGCCTGGGCCTGGGCGCCACAGGTGAAGCTTGGGGCTAGTGGAGGGGGGGTTTATTTTTCTGAAAAGTGGACTTGACATTGGCTGCTGGGACTGTCACGTGATGCACTTAACAGGCTCCCAAAATAGACAGGGAGGCCCTCCAATCTCCAGAGGAGCACTGAGCCCACCGCCCCAAGCAGCAGCAGACAGGCAGGTTCCTTCTCTGGGTGGCTCCCAACTGCCTGGGGAAGACTGGGTGTGGGCCATGGGGCTTGCTCAGGCTTCCCAGGGCAGGAGGGAGTGGGTGTGTCCTCCCGCAGAGCAGCCTCTCCCCCAGAGTCCCCACCTCCCCCTGCACCCTGCTCAGCTGGAATCCTAGTGTAAACCTTTACTCCTGGATGTTTCCCCATCAGCTGCAGGCATCTAGGGCCACGTGTGGCATGGCACTGGGCCTGCCCCGGGGCCCCCTGGCTGCTGTCTTCCCAGCCCTGCTGTTGTGCTGCTCTCATTTCAGGGATTTACTTTGCTGCTTCATCCATAGGGTAGGGACGTGGAAACTTCTGGAGAACCTCTGGTGTCAGGGGCTGGTGACAGGCAGAGAACTGGCTGCACGCAGGGCCAGCTCGCCCAAGCTTTGGTTTCTGAACCTGATCCAGGAAGAGTTCTGGCTGAGGTCGTGGTGGACTCCGTGGAGAATGCCCGGATGCAGGAGCGTTAGCCCGCAGCACCGTTCTCTTGGTCATGCAGTAGGTATGGATTAGCTCTTAGGCTGCCCACAGGCTGTTGAAACAGGAGGATGTGCTGGCATATGGCCAGGTGAGACCTGGTGGTGTTTTCATACCCTCTGAGACCAAGTTGGCCCAGGTGTGGCTGGCAGAACACTTACCCATCTGTCAGGTGAGTTCTGCCTTATTTGGAAATGAATGTGGCAAATGGGTTGGACATTGTGCAGTTTGGTTGGGACACCAGATACCCAAGAGGAGTATTCTTCACCTTCCTGCTTAGAGCTCTGGAGGCAGCAGGTTAAAACTCTGGGTCACTGGGACCCATGACAGATCTGGGCTAAGTCTCTGGCTCTTGGCCTCCATCTGGGGCTGTTACAGGTGTGTGGGCAGGAAACTAGTGGATTCCCAAGAAACCATCTCAGTCACAGAGCTTCCCGTGTCGGGAAATTCTCCATAGTGATTCAAGTGACTGTGGCTCCAACACCAGTGGTCCTGCCAGGTTCACTCCCCCGAGGTTCGGGAAGCGTGAAAAAAACGTCATCTCTGTGTTAGGACGACACCTGCCAAGAGACCAGTGTCAAATGGTATTACAGTTGGTCCTTCCTGGAAACCAAGTTTACGAATGAATAGGTGGAGCAACCAAAAATGTGATGTATATGAGCAAAATTGACATTTTGAGGTTGTTGGGTATTGGCCCTTGTCGGTGGGTTGAAGTCTTCTACTTGTTACAGGCTAAAGTCTATGATTATGAAGTAAGTTGGCAGCATACCACTGGAAAAAATTGCAAGAAAAGTAAGAGAAGGAAGAGGAAGGTGGAGTGGCCTGGGCAGTATCATTATACTCTTGAAATGAAATACAAGGAATATACTCCTTTTACAGAAATCATATTTTTAAAAAAAATTTTTTTAAAGGAGTTACTTGGATGACTCCCCCACTTCTAAGGAACCGTGTGTGCACCATGGGCTGCTGGGGCCTGACCAGGGTTAGACTGCCAATGAAAATGGCATCATGTCTATACGGAAAAGGCAATTTGTGTATTCTGCAAGTGCAGACCATGTAAGCTTGGAGGGCTGAAGTGTTCTGTTCCTTGGGTGTTTTTATCTTGGCTGACACGGAAGATACTGGAAAGAATGGTTCTTAAAGGAACAGTAACTCTGGGCTCTTGTTGGGCACCCTAGCATTTTTCACTTCGGGGTTCTTGAAGAAGTCTTGAGATGGGTGAAGTGGGCTGGGTGGGTGTCTGACCTGGTGGGTCAGACAGCATTGGAGGGCCTGGGTTCCTGCCCATCTCCGGGTGTGACTCCAGCTTCCTGCTAACACAGACTCTGGGAGGCAGGAGTGATGATGCAAGAGACCTCACTGGATTCCTGACTCCTGGCTGTACCCCAGCCCTGGGGTGCTATGGCCGTTTGGGGCTGAGCAGGTAGATGGGAGCACTCTTTCTTTCCTTCTCCCCATCCTTATCTGGTGGTGAGTGACAGCTGTTGGCTAGGTGAGCGCCTGCACCTGCTCAGTCACTGCTCCTTTGATCTTCACTGCAGACCGTGAGGCAGTTCCTGCCCTGTTGTTGGTGAGATCTGAGCATCCTCTGTGACTGCCCAGGCAGCCAAGGTCTTGATGTCTGCCCCGCCTTCTCAATCCTTTGTCCCTCTTCTGCCCATCTGCAGAGTACTCCTTGCTCAGAGGTGGACCCTTCCTTGCTTTGTTTAGGCCCATCACTTTACTTTGCTGTCTTCAGGTGTGGACTGTGGTCCCCCTGGGTAAACTTGTCCTTGACCCTGTTGCTGGCTCACAATGCCTCTGGTTCTTCCTGTTCTCACAACTTCCTGAGCCTGCTCCTCAGCCACACTGTGCCATTTCCAAGACAGGGAGCACTGCAGGAAGATTGTCACTTAGAGAGATGTTGTAAAAAGAGAATCTCCATTGTGGAGTGGTACTCTTACCCGCACACCTGTGCCTTTTTCCTACCTCAGCCCCAACTTTTCTCCAGTGTCCTAACATGGTCCCTTTCACATTTCTTCTGTGGTGACCCCAGTCTCCCAGGAATTCATCAGGTGGTTTGTCTGGACGCCCTGTCTCCGTGATGTCTTGGTCCAAATGCTGCTGCCGTGTGTGTGTTGTTGTTTTTTTTTTCTTCTAAGACGTTTCAGATGCACAGCAAAATTGATCCGCGAGTCTTGGGCGCATACTCTCTGCCCCACCAACACAAAAACATAAAAGCTCCATCAGAATCGCAGTCAGCACCAGAGCGGTACCTTTGTTACAGCAGGTGCACCTGCTCAGACACTTCTTCCCGGTCAGAGTACTCTGTGGTTGTTGATAAATGTGAAGTGACAATGCCTAGCATTGTGGTGTCATCCAGAATTTTCATCATCTGTTCCACTCTCTGCGGAGGGCCAGGCTTTATAAACTATAAAATATTTTTTAAAGTTACTTTTAATATTAATTTTAGTTCCTGCATGTTATGTCCAGGATTGACTCAGGACCATGGAGCAGAACTTCTCCCCTTACACTGATATCTAGGCTCTAGAAGAATCTAAAGGATAATACTTTTGTAACTTGGGGGTGGAATGCTGTCTGTGTGTATGGTGTGAGATTTAGAAGGCCTCAGGAAAGGATTGATCAAACTCATTATAATAAAGTCAGCATAGCCAGAACACTGCACACAAAAGACAGCTTGTAGCCAAGAGTTTATCTGTGCTTTGTGTTAAAGATGAACACGTCCTCTCACGTGAAAACTACAAGTCAACAGGGAAAGAGCCAGATCTCTGGGATCATGGCACAAAGATGATAAACACGGTCTAGAACTGACTCTAGCAGGGAGGCTGTGGGAGGGCAGCCTCCACCAGTGTGGGCCAGTTGCCCACAGAGGGCGCCTGGCCTAGGTCTGTGGGCTGAACACACAGGCTCCTGCCACACCCAAAAATCCCGTGTGCAGAGTGTGTCCTTCAGTGCCCTCTGCAGCTCTGCAGAGACCACGTGTAGGAGTCCAGGAGAGCCCACCCATGGGGCTGCTGCAAGGAACCACGGGTGCACCTGCTCCCAGAGGCACAGCCTCCACAGTGCTGAGTGGAGAGGGAGGGCTGTCCCATGGCCTCTGCATGGGGTCACTGTGGGCTGTCCTGGGATGTAGTGCTTGGCTCAGGTGCGGGTGGTGCTGGGGGCTGCATGGATGTTTTCTGTGTGGGTTCTGCCTGAGTGGACAGCTGAGGGAGGCAGAAGGAGGCAGCAGGGCCTCTGTGGAGAGGCAGAGGAGGGGCTCTGAGTGATGGGAGTCTGGAGGGGGAAGCAGATGGTGGCCTTGGTAGCTTGGCTAAAGAGGGTCAGCCCCACGTGCTGGGAGCCCGAGTGGGGGCCCAATGGCAGGGAGTGGAATAAGGATGTTCATCAGGTGTGGGGTGTTGGAGGAGCTTGACTTCTGAGACCTGACTCAAGTCTGCTCCCCCAGTGTCCCCTCCCAAGCAGCCTCACCTCCGAGCAGCAAGTTGCTCACACTTCAGCCCCCTATTGTATTCCCTGCCAGGTGGATTCAGGATCATCACCCAACAACTCACGGGTCCCGATCACCAGGCCCAGCCCCCAGAGGAGCCGGAGCTGCCTCTCACACTGGACACTCACAATTGTTGCCTCCTGGGCCACCTGGCACTTATGGCTTCTTGGCATACACACGTGGGAATTCCTGGGACTTCTGGCTCCCAGAGAGAGTGATTTGAAGAATAGACTCTAGTTCATCATTTGCATGCCTGCTGTGTCTCCTAGGGCAGAACGTGTGGTGATGACATCAAGCAAAGAATAGGGGATACCCAGCAAGAGTGGGTACGTCTGGCCCATGGGCCACAGAACACACCTCTGCAGGGAGCTGCCTTTGTTGTGGAGCATTCAGGACTTGCACTGGTACCCATAAGGAATGCCAGCACTGCAGGTGGTGCAGCCATGCCATGACCTCGGCTCCTAGTTGGTTTTTAGCAAATTTTTTTTTGGGTGGGGGAAGGGTGGTTTGTGGCACAGAGGTGAAGCCACCACCTTGAAAAGCCCATGCCCCACATGGAGGTTCATAAGTTTGAGTCTGGGTATACAGCTTTCCACCAGTGTGCTCCTGGGGGTAGCAGGCAATGGCTCAAGTATTAGGGTCCCTGACATCAGATGGGAGATCTGTATCTCTTCCTGCTTTGCAAATAAAATGGAAATTAAAAAAAAAAGTCTGAAGGGGCTCTTGGGCTGCTAAGTGGAAGTTGATCATTGGGCAATGATTACAAGCACTGTTACTGCTCCCCCTAGGGACACGAGACAACATCTGGATATACCTCATTGGCTGTCCTGGAAGGTGCTCCTGGCTTGGCGCCCATAGCTAGCCAGGAACGCTGCTCCACATCCTAAAGTGGCCAGGGCAAATCAGCCCCAGAAAACAGTATCCACAATGCTCAAAGGAAAGACATTGGTGTGATGTAGCAGGGACAAAAGCCGGGAGCCTAGCGAGAAGCTGGAGAGAGAGGGGCACCTGATGTTGTTCTGGTGCCTTCTCGCCTCATGTCTCAGCTTCCCTGCCTGGAAACTCGGCACACCATTAGAAGGATTGCTGGAGGCAGTCCATGTCCAGCTTTGAGCTATACCCCTATACCCATACCCCGTCGCTGCTGCTGCCACTATGACTTAAAAGTTAATGTGTGAGGAGGAGATGCCGGTTAGGGTCCGCCTTCCCAAACTTCCTGGACTTCGCCAGAATTTGTTTATCCATGTGTTTGATCTGAAATTTCTCCTTTAAACAAATTGGGTAGCTTGGAATTCCATCATTTCAGATTATCTGAGCACAGCCTGACACTGTGGGGAATCCCAGGGCCAGGGCTGGGCACAGTGGGTCAAGGGTGTCATCTCCTTGTCCTTGCTCCCTGGGCATTGGCCTACAGGAAGGGGGCAAGGGCACAGAAAGCTCTAGATCTTGACCTCTGCATCGGCTGTGGCCCATAGTCACTGGGCTCATTCCTGAGGGGGCACAGACGCCACCCCGCAGGCCGCTTGTGTCCCAGCAGGGAGACCCCAGTACACAGCCACCCCTGGGGTCCCTGCTTTGCTGCAGGACCGCACCTGCTCTTTCTCTCTGCCTAAACCATAGACCTTGCTGGCCTCTGGGTTTTGGGTTGCCTGAAACCAACACTTTCTGCATTGCCTGTGGGAGTGATCACGCGGGGTCTCTGTCTGGTGGGATTATTTCATGTAACATAGGGCCCCCTGTTCCTCCTGACATGTAGGTTCTGAGCAGTCCTTGGCTGCTGGGGGCAGCACTGCATTCCACATGGGGGTGCGGCCATCTCTCCCTCACCTTGGGCAGATGCCCAGGGATGGGACTGTTGGACCGGGTGGCAGGTCTATTTCTCTTTTTTTGAGCAACTTCCTTGTTATCTTCCACAATAACTTTACTCACACTCCCAACCCACAGGAGGGTTCCCTTTTCTGTACCCACTTCCTGGCCAGCACTTGCCACTTTTTGTCTTCGATAATGGCCGGTCTGAAAGAGGTGATGCCCATTATGGCTCTGATTGGCATTTCTGGGAGATAAATTGTTATTTAGTGCACTTAAAAGTTCTTACAGTTGTTACGCTATTACGTGTAGCTAATTCCCACAGCCTGGTTCTTCTACAGCCTGGTTCTTTTGGTGAGCAG